GGCTGTGGCGCTCACTTGGGGAGTGAATCATCAGACGGAAGATCTTCCTCTCTGTCTCTCCTCTCTGTATATCTGCCTTTCCAATAAACAAAATAATAAAAATAAATCTTATAAAAAATACTGTTTTCTTCACTATGAAGAAAAATTCTCAAAATCAGCACCAAGGTACAGTGTGTCTGGTCTGACACGGTAGCCTTGTGGCTAAAGTCCTTGCCTTGCATGTACCCAGGATCCCATAAAGGTGCTAGTTCGTGTCCCTATCATTCCACTTCTCTTCCAGCTTCCTGCTTGTGGCCCGGAAAAGCAGCCAAGGATGGCGCAAACCCTTTACCCGAATATGAAACCCAAAGGAAGCTCCCAACTTCGGATCTGCTCAGCTCAGGCTGTTGTGGCCACTTGGGAAATGAACCGTGGATGGAAGATCTTTCTCCCTGTCTCTCCTTCTCCCTGTAAATCTGACTTTCCAATAAAAATAAATAAATCTTTAAAAATATATATCTATTACTTTGCAATGATAACATTATACTTGAACACCTGAACTGTTCAACATGGAACATTTCCCCCAAAGGCAAAACGAGAAACATCAAGTCCCAGACAGCTGAGCATGAAACTGAAAAAGAAAACAAAAACCAAAACAGTCTGCCTCAGCCATGTCTCAGTTTGCAAATGAAGACAGATTTCTCCAGCAATAAGTGCACATTTATTTCCTTGGACCCCGAGCTGAGGAACCTGGGAACAGAGAGGTGCAGTGTGCCATCTGGTGAGCAGAAAAGGCCATGCAGTTTTTTGAACGAAAGCCATCCCTCACTGGAAGCCTCACCGTGACTCAGGCCGCTTGAGAGGCTTGCTGCACCAAGTATTTGGAGGTGAGGGATGTGGAAGTATCTCTGTATCCTCTCTCAGGGATAGCCCTTGGCCACATGGAGAAATAGTAAGACTAGGTCTTCATTGGATGCTGAAAATGTTGCTACAAAACCTATATGAAAAGTCATGAACTTGGGCCCGGCACAGTGGCGCAGTGGTTAAGGTCCTCGCCTTGCACGCCCGGGATCCCATATGGGCGCCTGTTCTACCCCGGCAGCTCCACTTCCCTTCCAGCTCCCTGCCTGTGGCCCAGGAAAGCAGTCGAGGACGGCCCAAAGCTTTGGGAACCTGCCCCCTTGTGGGAGACCCGAAGGGCTCCTGGCTTCGGATCGGCATAGCATCGGCCGTTGGGCTCACTTGGGGGGTGAATCATCGGACGGAAGATCTTCCTCTCTGTATATCTGCCTTTCCAATAAAAAAACAATAAAAATAAATCTTTAAAAAAAAAAAGAAAAGTCATGAACTTGAAGCCTGTGAGTTTGTTTCTGTCATGAACTGCCCATTCATCTTGAGCAAGTCACCTAATTTTTCTCAATTGCATATGAGAAAGTACATCAAATACTCTGTAGGGATCTTTTCAACTCTAGCCATTGAATCTGCAATCTGCCATTGCAATTTTTGAGGAAAACTGCCATCTGCAATTTTTGACTGGCCTTCACACTTCCCATCCCTTTTGTGTACAACCAAGTTTATCTTGTGAAATATGGCTATGTTCCTGTAACAGAGCGTAGAAACCCATCCACAAGTGGCCCATTTGCCTGCTGTTTATTGCACATAGGCACGTTAATTCCTTTAGTCATTCATTCCACAAATATTTGCTATGTGTTCCTTACTCTGTCCCATATACTCTGCCCCACACTACCCCAAGCATATGGGACTACTTTGTTCCTCTGATGTAGCAGCCTTCTTCTTTGCCTCTTGCCTTTGTTAATGCTACTCCCTTTTATAAGAATGCCTCTCCTTCATCTTCTTTCAGATTAACTCACATTCATGTCAATGCAAATATATTCTCCTAAAATTTTCTAAAAGCTGGCATTCTCTGCATATCATCTTTTTGTACACTGCTCACAGTTTCTGACACATTGACTTGAAATTATTTTTGCATATGTGTAATTAGAAGAATATCTTGAATGCCAGGGTTGTAATGTTTTCCCTTATGATTTTCTTTCTCTATATATTATTCTTACTACTCAGATAAGGCATTTTTTGATATGCCTACACTTTAGTAAGGTTGTGACTGTCAAAACGAACCAACAAGAAGATTAACTGAACAAATTTGAGCTTCAAAACAGACATGAGATTAAAAACAAAAAAACTTCCAGACCTGATAGCTATGACAGAAAGATTCATTTAGGTGTCAAAAACCCAAACATTTTAAGTACAAAAGCCAATATTGTGTACATTATTCAAAATATTCCAGAATAAATACAAGAGTCATTCTCTCCAATTCCCTTTTTTTAACCTTTCATGAAGTCATTCATTGTTTTTTAATTCTTTTATTTTGATAATCTTTACATAGTTAAATAGGGAACAAAGGGTCAAGGGCTATAGGAAAGTGGGTAAGACCATTGTTTCCACATCAATATTATTTTATTTTTTCTGTATCTGAGGTAAGGGAAGAGAAAAAAGGAGAAGCCCTACCCAACCTCCCACCCATCCCAGGTCCCCCGTGTGAGGCATGCTCTGAGGGTCCTGAGCATGCAGTTTTGATAGTTCAACAGTTCTGAATTATTGCCAATCTCACCATTCCAAGCATGATGAAATCTCTTCAGAATCCACTGGCTGACATAATCTCTTCATGGTTGGGGTTCTGAGATTAGCCGTACAGTTGGAGGGACCCCCCCAAAGAAATTTCGTTTGGGATGATCCCAGACCTGATTCTTGTGTGTGCTTGCCAGTGCAGGGTTTGGCACAGTATGTCACCAAAATCAGGTTAGGCATATGCTGGTGGTTTCGATTGATTGGTCAGTTCTATTTCCAGTCCTGTCTTCCACATGAACCAATGGGTGTTGCAGTCAAGCCTGATTCTGTCCTCTTCACACTCTGCCCTCATGCAAACCAGTGAGAGCTGCAGTATATTTGGAGCGATTCCCAGTAACCCCCACCAGGCCCAACACCTACCCTGGTTTCCATGCTTGCCAGTATGTACAACAGACTGGTTCAGTCTGTCCCATATCCCATTCAGTTCTCATGCATGTCAATGGGCATTGAAATCTAGTTCAACCCAACCAGTCCCACTATCCAGCCCAAACGCATGCTGATGGGTGCCGTTCTGTCTAGCCACCCCTGCCCCAGGCCTGGTTTTCATGCTCTCCAGTGGGAGTGGTTACCCAAGAAGGAAGTGCCCACCATTTCCCTACTGGGTCCACTCCCACTCCCGGATCATGCACTCTCCAGGTGGTTCTGAAGTTTAACTTGACAGAATTAGCCCCACCAGTGCCAGCATCTGCCAGCTAATGCTGCAGCAAAAGCCAACCAACCTTCACCTACTCTGATTTACGCTTGCACCGGTAGGAACAGTCAGCCCAGCCTGGCTTTTCCCTGATCTAGCTCACATGAGGCCCACAGGTGTTGTAATTCTGCCTGGTCTGGTCTGCCCCCACCCCAACTCACACTCTGCAGTGGGAGTGGTTGGTCCACCAGGGGAGCCCTCAACATTCCCCCTACCGGCTTTGCCCACGGTTCTCACGTGTGCTGGTTGCTTGCTGGGGCTCAGTCTGGCATGACTCGCCTCGACTTTCGTCAGTGGATGTCATAGCCTGGACTGGCCTGACCCACCCCCAATTCCAGCTGATGCTGATGGGATCTCCAACCCTTATTATTCCCACACTCATCAAGAGAGTGAATTAAAGAGTTAGACATGAGGGCCAAGTTTCCAGCACCCACCAACTTCTGGTTAAGTCCCAGGTGAAAGTGAAAACTTATTTTCCTCTTTTTCTCTGTTATCAGAAAGGCAGCAGCATAGCACTCCGAGTAATAAAGGAGAAGATGTGGTGTGTTCATCCGGACAAGAATTTCCCCAGAGGGGAATAAAGAGCAAAATCCGGAAGCTCATGTGCTCCAAATGAACAAAAGGAATGGAGAGAGTGCAACCAGTGACCCTCAAGAAGCCCAGAAATCAGAATGAAAAAGATGCACAGTGTCCACTCCAGCCAGTATTCGTGAGGGGCACCATGGGTCGCTGATAGCCATGTGGGAGCCTTCCAAGTACATTTTTTTTACCTTTGTTTGTATCTGCTATGGCTCACACTATTCCCATAAATGTTTGCTCTGTAAATAATACAGGCAGGTTGATGAAGCAGTGGAGGGTTACCAGGGAACCTGGGAAACCTGAGTTTTATTTGCACCATTTTTTTTTTTTACTTTCTTTAAAAACGACCCTCAAGCGCTATTTGTGATAAAACAACTCTGACATTAGATTTCTATTGAGAAAATATGAAATATGAGAAACAAAAGACAGGTACACAAAATATCAACATCTTTAGGGCCATAAAACCTATGAATTCAGAAACACATCCAAAGTATTTGTAATTATTTAATATTTTATTATGTTAGTGCTGGATATATTAATTTATATTCTGATATTTTATATAATCTTTAGGTCATAAATACAATGACAATTTCCACTTGTATATAAGTGTCTAGTACTTCTGATCACCCTTTATATTTAACAAGTGCTTAGTGGACCTATGTGCTAAATCCCTATCCTTGCCATCCCAACCTACCCTGCACAGACCCTCAATACAGACATACACTTTGACTGTATTTTCTGATTTTCATGGACATGAAGCATGTCAGTAGTACCAGGAGAGCTCATGGAGACTGACGCTGAGTTTGGGGGATTGGGTGACTAGAAGGCGGTCATCATACAACTGCGTTCATTGAGTGAATGGATCAAGAACCATCTATTTTCAGGGGTTGGGATGTAAGAATTTCTTGGGCCTATGAACTAATTCTGAAACACCCCAAGCAATAATCCATAACTAATACAGAACTCAGAATTTCATTTGGGTCTAATTGGAAGTCCTAGGAAGTGTTGGGGATGGGAGGCGTTGGGTATTGAACAAGACTCATCGTCAGAAACTGAAATGAGTTGTGCACTCCCACCATGTCTCCAGCTGAATTGGTGGCAGCTCTCAGGATGCATAGCGGACGATGGGAGTGACACAGGTGCATCCAACTGTCACCCACACCTTCTCCAGCCGGAAGGAATGAGAGCAGCCCTGGGGCTCCCTCCGGAGGACAAGGAACTCTTGCTGGATGGGCACGGAGTTCATGGAGTTGTCTTCCTCCCCCTGGGCATTGATGCAGCCTGAGTACCTGCAGCGGGCCTCTGCGATCTCCGAGGGGAAGCGGTGGGGGTCCCGGGTGATGCTGCAGGAGCAAGTCAAGGCAGAAGGGTGAGGCCAGCTGAAGACCACCAACAAAGGAAGGGAACCTGCCGCACTGGACACAGCCTGACAGGCAGACAGGTAGGTGTATTCAGGGTAACACAGACTGTGTCTCAGGATTTGAGCCAGACACTTTTGGACTCATACACAGCCCTCTGGCATTTGCTAAACTCTCTGAGTTTCCTCAGCTATGAAGTGTGGACTCTCAGATACCATTTGCCTCACGGAATGGTTGAGAACACGTGGTGATCCAAATGCACATTAATGACCCACTGTGTTAGCTAAACGTTCTATTGATGTTAGATTTTTTAGCTTATGTTTATTTGCATTGTTATTATTATAGTTATTGTTATTATATATATTATAGTTATTATAGTTATTATTGTTATTATTATAGTTATTGTTCATCCTTCACCAGAGATCAGATATCACTAATGGCTCTCCCACTAATTGGCTCTCCCAATACACAATCCATATGATTGCTAAGATTGCTACTTGGAAAGGAAAACTAATGACCCTGAGACCTGTACATCAATCAGTGCCTTCTCTCGCTTTCTCAAGGAGGATGTTGAATGCAGAGTCCCACCACTTGGGACTCCACAAACCCGTATCATCATTGAGTTGTGGATTGAGTCCTGGCTCCTCCACTTCTCTCCAACTTCCTGCTAGTGTCCACCCTCGGAGACAGCAGGTGGTGGATCAAGGACCTGGGTCCCTGCCATTCAAATGGGAGAATTAAATGGAGTTCCTGGCCTCTGACTCTATTCTTCTCCCTTTTCCTTTCCCACTGCCACAAATAAATAAAAATTAAACTTCTTTCTCAATAGCTTTCCACCCAGAGGCACAAAGACATCAAAATCAATCCAGCCAGCTTGCCACTATTCACACTTCCCTTGCGGGGGAAGCTGTACAGTAATCCCAGGAGCACCTCTAATTATGCTTACATTTAAAGAAGGTAAGTGCTGCTTGGTGTGCCAAGAGCCTCTACCTTAAGACAAAATTACGAGACTCCATCCTGAAAATCCCTACCCAATATCCACTTCCCGGTTTAGCCTTTCTTTTCCGCTGCATCCTCAACCCTTATTCCTTGGAGGAAAATGTCTGATTTGATGGCTCTCCCTACTCCTAGACTTCCCAGATTCGTGCTTACCTTCATGAAGAGAGCATCTTGCGGGATGCTTTATAGAACCCGTCCTCTGACTCCTCCCTCTTCCCCATCTGCTTTCATCACAGAAAGTGCAATTTTCTACCCAGACGTGTGTGAAGCAGGGAAGAGAGTAGAAAATGTGGAAATAAAATCTTAGCATTGTCACCCGCCTAGGTGGACCTAGCCTAAAACAGCCAGGAAAATGTGTGCCCTCAGGAACAATTGGGATTTCTGTTTACTCTAAATTTTCTACTCTGTGAAATAGATTAACATATTCTTTTGAAATACTTTGAAAATCAATTATTCTTGCACTTACTTGTAATCCCATGGGGAGATGGAGCGATTCTGGAAGTCATGTGTGATGGGAACTCCCTGTTTTTGACTGAGGATACGAATGTCAACCCTCACACTATTGTTTTCCAGAGGGGGACAATTCCCCAGTTTTAGAAGGGTGCCATCTCCTGCTTTGGGCTTTTTCCAAGCTGCCCCCTCCCTCAGGAGAGTGAACCCCAACATCAAGAGCAGAAGAGATTTGACCTGGAAAACAGAAGACAAGACATTGCAGCTGGTTAGAGACAGGAGCCACTTGGGGATAAGAGTCTCATTCTTGCTAAGCCAAAAACTTCTGGTTCTTGGATAGGATTGGGGTTTCTCTCCAGCCCCCAGGTCCTCACCCACAAGTGAAAATAGTGATACCTGAGGATGTCAGGGTGCTAAACTGAAAACTAAAAATATTACTCTGATGATTGAAGCCCTCCATAGTGTAAGAGCACAGAAGACGTCCCCAAAAACATCTTCTGCTCCAAGAGGACAGAGAGATGTCAGGGTCTAGGACTTGCCCTGCATTCCTTGCTGGTTTCCTTTCTTTAACTGAAGAATAACACCTTATAACAAACATAACAACATTAGATGAGTTGTTCTATGTGAAGAACCATTCCTTTCTAAAGATGTAAATTTCTATTAAAATATTAAATTTCTAAAACAGAAATTTAATAAATGAAAGCTCTTGTCATAGTCCACAAAAATCTTCCTTAACAACCAGCCTTACAGCTATCCCTCCATTTAAAATACACTGCCCTACCTTTGTCTGTCTAAATTCTACCCTTCCATTAAGGGTTACTCAGATGTGATTTCCTCTAAGAAACTTTCTTGGGCCCAGCGCCATAGTCTAGCAGCTGAAGTCTTTGTCTTACACGCGCCAGGATCCCATATGGTCACTGGTTCTGTGCCGGCTGTCCCACTTTCTATCCAGTTCCCTGCTTGTGGCTTGGGAAAGCAGTCGAGGACGGCCCGAAGCCTTAAGACCCTGCACCTGCATGGGAGACCCAGAAGAAGCTCTGAGCTCCTGACTTCAGATCAGCACAGCTCCGGCCATTGCAGCTGCTTGGGGAATGAATCAGCGGACAGAAGATCTTCCTCTCTAAGTCTCCTCCTCTCTGTATATCTGGTTTTCCAACCAAAATAAACAAATCTTTAAAAAATAAAAAGACTTCCCTAAAGTTGTTCAATCAGAAGTTTGATTATTTCCCTTAAACATTGTCTGAAAATGTATTTTTTGAGTTTAAGTCAGATCTATACCCATTAGATTCCAAGTTCTTATGGGAGAACATGCAAAGTGCAAGTATTCCACAAATACTTTCTGAATGAATGTGTTAGTGAGTGAATGAGCAAAAGAATACAGTTAAATTGAACAATATAGTTAAGTTGAATGCATTAAGGAAAACATGCAAAACCAACTATAGCAAAATTCTAATTATCTGTAGTAATTGAAAGAAGCAGGGGCACTAATGATGCACAACAAATATGGAAACTATTTCTCTAAGCTCTGGAAAAACAATTTAAAGATCTTTGTTTTGTTTTTGTTTTTGTTTTTGTTTTTTTCCTTTGAAAGAGTTACAAAGAGAGGGAGTGACAAGGAACTTCCACCTGCTAATTCATTCCCCCAGTGGTCACACGGTCAGGTCAGAGAAGGGCTGGGTCAGGCCAAAACCAGGAACCAGGACTTTAGCCACATCTCCCACATGGGTGTATGCACCCAAGGACTTGGGCCATCTTCTGCTGCTTTCCCAGGGGCATTATCTGAGACCTGTATTGGATGTAGAGCAGCCAGAACTCAAACTAGCTGCCATATGTGTAGGAGGACATTGTGAGCCTGGAAGGTCAGCGAGCACAGGTTTGCAGTTCATTGGACAGTATTTGCATGACAACAACCAAATGGCTACCTTTGGTATAAACAGCATGTAAATGAGATCACCTAGGGTAATATACAAAAAAAAAGGAATTCCAATCAAGAGAGGGAAACAGTACGGACTCTCAGTGTATAAAGTCTGATGCCCCTAATAAACTTCGGCTTTGACCATCAGTCAGGGTCCACGCGTGTTATTATCGGCTCCGTGCACCAAGTCCATCGCTGCGGGACAGCGACACATATGGGATGCTGGCATTGCAAGTGGCAGCTTAGCTTTTTACATCACAACACTGAGGGGAAATACATACAGACGTGTGTATGTGTGTGTGTGTGTGTGTGTGTGTGTGTGTGTGTGTGTAGTACTTACATCAAGGCATCAGTTTGTCTGGTGTTTCAGGAATGCACAAAGAATGAAAGTGCTCTGTGAAGACCTAACTAAAAGATGAGACAGAAACCTGACTGCTTTCCTTCAGTCTTGATCAAGCCTTGCTCACTCCACACCATCACTACTGACGCTACTGACGCTCCCTGCATATGAACAAAGCTCTTGATGATACAGAACAAGAGCTGACACTCTGGGAACAATGTTGTTCAGGTTCACATCTTTGATTAGACAAACTGGTTTAAAAGGCTGTCTTCTTTTTATATAGTGTAGATCTTAGTAACAAGGAATGATCAGAGTAAACAAAAAGTCATGATATCACTTCTTAAATTTAGCAGCTGATACAAATAAGAGATTGAAAACAAGATTGGCCTAGATAAACCAGATGAAACTGATTGGCCTTCAGATAATCAGCAGTCATCTACTTTCAGCTGCATCATCATTCTTTGATTTATCCCACAACTAATGTTTCTCCTCTATAGTAGCATGGCTCAGGGCACAGGCTGCAGAGGCACATGTCCATGGTGTGTTGAGGATTCTTAGAAGCTGTGATTCAGTTTCCTCCACCAGAAAATGTGACAATTCCATGAGATTTTCCATAGAGAACATAAAAAGCCGTGGCAACATGTGTCAACTATTCAATACAGGTGGCAATTATGAAGTTAACCATATGAGATGAGACAGACATGAGATTTACCATCACACAACCTAAACAACTGAGATAAGAGGGCCCCTAGATAGCTTGCTTGGTTTTCTGAAGTCAACCCTTCTTTTTGTGTGATATTCATTGGATCATTTTTAACTTTCACTTTTGAAATTTTAAAGTAACTTATATTAGAGTTATATAACTTAGTAAAAATTATGTCATGCTTTTAATAGGCCAGTATGTTTATATGAAGGTACTTCAAAAGGTTCATGGAAAACTGAATTAAAAGATGTTCATTTTGGTGCACAATTTTTCAAAATAACTACATGGGTCGGGTCTTGTAGGAGTTGATATTATAGAGTATGTAAAGGACAGAGTTTTTTAATTTTGGTCAAAAAATCATGGAAAATTTAAATTATGAAAAAGCTATCTGAATTACAAACATGTTTGCAGCAAAATAAATATATTTTCACTTCATTTTTCTACAAGCCCTTTGAAATCACCTCATTATGAATTCGTGGTTGAAATCATAGTGAAATCAGATTCATTATGAGAGTATTTTAGAAAACACATATACATCTCTATAAACACTGGATTCTCTTCCTTAAGGGGTAGGCAGAACTAGCAGTAATTATCCAAATTAAATGCAATCAATAAGTTGATTGGGCTCATCAGCCTATTAGTGCCATTGTCCCAGATGACTGGTCCATCTAGGTGTCCTGGTCAGTGCTATATTCATTCAAGGTGAATATGTTTAACAGCATTAATTTAGCTTTGTCTCATGAAAGCTGTCAAATGTTTGAACTGAGGTGGCAGCTCAATCAGAATTGCATGTTGGTCACATGGCCCTTTATCAGGAAATAAGATTTGTCTACACATCCTCTAGTCTGCTCCATGAAGCCTTGGGTCTGAAATGGCTAACAAAAGTGGTTATGCAATACATGGCAGGGACTGTACTGAAAAGTTCTTGCTTTTAGTAATCATCTGAATATGGGCCCTGCACAGTAGCCTAGTGGCTAAAATCTTCACCTTGTATGCACCTGGGATCCATATGGGAACCTGTTCTAATCCCGGCTACCCCACTTCCCACCCTGTTCCCTGCTTGTGGCTTGGAAAAGCAGCCGAGGACAACCCAAGGTCTTGGGACCTGGCACCTGCTTGGGAGACCCAAAAGAAGCTCCTGTCTCCTGACTTCAGATCAGCTCAGCTGAGGCCATTTTGGCCAGTTGGGGAGTGAACCAGCAGATGAAAGATCTTTGTCTCTCCTCTCTGTAAATCTGACTTTCCAATAGAAAGAAAAATAAATCTTTTTTTTTAAATCATCTGAGTAGTGTTTTAGAAAAGCTCATAGCATTTGATAGACTTGAATTTTCATATACCAATATAAGGCAGATGTACAGGCATTGCTTTCATTTAGCACAACAGGAAACAGAGGCAAGGGAAGGTATCAGCTGAAGGGGTGCATAGCAACAGGGGTGCATAGCAACAGGATGACCACCTTCTTGGTCTCCAGTTGCATCTTGTTCTGATGTGAGCCCAGCTAAAAGTTCATCTGAGCATTTGCACCTGTACTAATTGCGATATGTACTACTATGAATCTGTGAAAAATGCCATGAGGAAGATTCCATTATTATTCCCATCATACAATTGAGGCAGAGAAACCCAAACTGAGCAAGTAGGGAAGCCAGGTTTGTCTGATTCCTAAGCCTGTATTCTAAATATTGTACTTCATTTTAAATATTATACTTCATTTCATTTTCTAAGTTCTGTAAAGTAACAAATCAATACAAAAGCATTTCCATTCCTGTATGTCATTTATCTTTTATGAAATGTAAGCCCCTTTAAATTTCATGTCTTGCATACTATCCCCTAAAGAGTAAGCCAGGCTCATAACACGAGGTAAGAGTTTTAGGTCTATCTATCTTTCTAATGGGTGGCCATGCCAAGTGCCTGAGATCCCCAGACCTGCACCTGCTAATAGCACCAGCCCTAACCACCAGACAAGAAGCTGTGTCTTGTGCCTCATTATAATTTTTCTTATCATACTTTTCCCCACAAGATCCAAGTCAAGCCAATTCTTTAGAAAAATGCTCTTCTGAAATCCTAGGTGACTGGCTTGAAATCAAAATTGAACTACTCACCAGGGCTGTGTCCTTCGGCATCTTCACTGTCATTTCACTCTGGTTGCTTGCCTGATGCAGAGAGCTCTCTTGGTGCATGTGTCTGTGTGTCTGTGAGTGTCAATGACAGTACCTGTTGGTTTTATAGCAATCACTGTCCTCATTTCAATTGACCTGCTTACTGTCTTTAAGTTGTGGTTAATGAATGCAGACTTTTTTTTTTCTAGTCCACTTCCTGAAGGGGAAGCAAAGGAGGATCTTAGAAGGGGATGACGGAAAAATGACCCTATCTTCCTTTCCTCTTACCCCGACTCCCCCCGCATTGCACTAAATAGTAGCAAAATTTTTTACTAATTCACTACATGAATGAACCAAGTCACAAATTATTGTCATGATCTTTTGTGTTCTTCCACCAATTGTCACACACCATATGCTCTACTTTCTAGTCATGCAATGTGAACCATGATTTAAATGGCAGATATGTCATCCTTACAGGAGCCTTGGTATTAAACTAGAGACTTATTTTTAGATGCATTTTACAAAAAAAAATAAAAACCAGAGAAATGAATGACACCAGTGAGAAACTTGGGAGCTCTTTCCCCAGGAAGCTTTATAGTCTCCATGCACTAACTTTTTTCAAACCCACAATTACTCTCCCACTAAGACTTAGCAAATAATCATTATTCAGGCATATCAATGGCCATTACCCTCTCTATCTCTGCTCAAGAATATTTTCAACTAAATTGAATTAGCAAATTAGATGCTCTTGCTTATAATTTTAAATGGTCTGCACACAGTTCATTTGTCTCGGTTCAGTTTAGGTTGGTAAACATTTATTAAGTACAAGCTATATATCCAAAACCATGCCCTAGGATACTCAACTACTACCTCCTCCCCACCCCACCAGAAAAATGTAACTAACTTTTTACAAAACCTCCATTAAGATCAGATGTATGCAGAGATGAAACCAACAGAAAACAACAAAACCCATGTGATATAAAATTTCTACTTTTCTTTCTATTGTTGATTTTGTATCATGACTTTTCATTTAAGGGAATGTACAGTAGTTATGTAATTGAGACTAACAACCAGATGTGAGGATGCAGTGTGGTCGGCATCTCTGTTTCTAGACAAAGATGGACTTACATTGAAACTGTTTATATTATATTTTGACAATAGGATTCTGGACTCTCTGCCATTGTCCATGCCCACAATGATGAACATATGACTGAGTATGAAGAACTATATGTTAATAATGATATAAAGGAACTAGGGGTGGGAGGGAATTGGGGAGGGGATAGGGGAATATGGAACTGTATCGTAAAATGATAGCAATAATAATAAAATGTGAAAAAAAAGACCAGATGTATGCTCTCTTTTCAAAAATCAAGATGCACTCTACAGAGCAAAGTCATCTTCCTCTATCACAACATGTTTAAATAACACCTCCATCCATTTTAACAGAAGAAAACACAGAATAGGTTGTACTAGAGTTCATTAGAAGGCAAACACTACTCAAAATTCTATGGTCATGGGCTTCTTATCCACATTGTTCCTCTCCTTGTCTGTGGTCTTCTCTGTACCTTTCTTAGAAATTTTAACTTCTACAAAATTATGTTTTCAGATCATCCTGTCAGGAGCTATTGCTTTCTCATTTCTCATCTCCTTGTGTTTAGTACAACTTACACTGGCTTAACATGTTTTAGAATTGTTCTCTAAGGACTTCTCAGTTCTGGAGTAATTTTAGCAACTCACAAATAAACTTTGCCAACCTCCTTCTCCAAATATATATATATATATATATATATATATATATATATATATCCAACTATACAATTAAATTATATCTGTGTATTTTCTGTACAAATAAAGACTCAAATTCTCTAGCAAACCCATTTGGACCAGACTAATGATGCTAACATTTTATAGTCTCAAGGTCTCACCAAATATGGCTTTCCATGTACAAAGTAAAGGTAGCCAGTTCTATGAAATCAAGGACAATGTTTTCAGCTTTGCCTAAATCATTCATCCTTCCAAAGCAAAACACACAATAAATCTTCAAACATAGACTAAATAAAATGTGTTAAGGGACTCCCTTTTATTAATGATTTCTTCTTCATTCAGAAGGATCTCTCAATTACATATCAGATCTCTTGAAGGAAGGAACAAGCCAATAACTTTGAACTAAGAGTAACTAATTTATCCCACTAAGTCTGCCCTGTTTCCCTGGGTTTCGGAGAGGAATGAAATGGTCCTGTACTTATGGAGGGAAGCAATACTACAATATTGCCTTTACATCCGGTGGTCATAAAGTTTTCTACACTATCCTCACCACCACCACCACCACCACCACAAAACAAACAAACAAACAAAAAAATGAAACACCACACTTATACACCAGGATATTATCAGGATGTCAAGTGGTAACTGATCATACATGGTAATGAATACACAATGAACACCTAGCTGACTACAGTGAAAGTCCTCCACTAACCTGCTCTGCACCATTTTGATTCAGGCTATCACCCACTGTGAGAGTTTCAACCGTGTGCTGGAGTTGTCATTCAACACAACATGCTGGGAGTGAGGTAGCACTACACTCAAGGTCAAGGGTTTCCCAGACAAAACATTGAAAGACCCTATTATTCCAGGAATAAATTCCACAGTCTTATATGTGCCAAAATAGTATAGCTGATTGAGTACCCAAGCCAACAAGACCTTTTATTCTTCAAGTCATCCTAAATAATTTGGGGGCTACTATTAAAGATAAAAGACTGCTCAAAAATCTAACCTTGGAAAGAGAGTGAATACACATGTATTAAACAGTAGGATATTAGCATGAGATTATTAGAGATTCTAATGTATAAATGAGCATATTTAGTTTTGCAAATCTAATTTTCAAGAGGGCTCATCTTCATTTAAAAATAGATTAATCAAATCTACTATGCTGCCATAGGTAAGAGTGTTTCTGAAGATACAGAAGTTGAAGCCTGGAAGTAAGGTATTACTACAATAAAAACTAAAATAGTGGCATTGTAATAGTGGTCAGGTGTGAAGTTGTGATGGCGGTGAAATCATAGGCTAGATAAATGATGATCCATGTTATGCAATGGCCAACATGGATAACTTGAGGCAGATATTTACCTAACAAACTTGTGACTCTAGAGAAAATGATTAGAAAACAGACTAGTATTTGTGTGTACTGCATTTGGCAGTTGCAAGGCAAGAAAAACATGAGCTCAGGAAAGAGTTAGCTAATTTAAAAACATAGAGGAAAGGGAATGAAGTTTAAAATTCAGAATCATGCAAAGCTGGCATTGAAAAAAATACAAGTAGAGGCCAGTGTTCTGGCATAGTAAGTAAGGCTGCTGTGTGTGACGTGTGGATCCTATATGGGCACTAATTTGAGTCCTAGATGTTCCAGGTCCTTGGGCCACTGCACCCCAGTGGAAGACCCAAAAGAAGCTCCTGGCTGGTCCAGTTTTGGCCATTGCAGCCATTTGAAGAGTGAGCCAGAGGGTGGAAGATCTCTAGTCTCTCTTCATATATAATTCTGCCTTTCAAGTATAAATAAATAAATGAATAAATAAATGAACAAGTAAATATTTAAACACAAACACTAAACTACTCTCAGTCTCAAAAAGGCAAAACATCGAAAAAATCCAGCAAAAATCTTTCAAACAAATTGATTTCCTACTGGTAAGAATCAGAATGAAGAATTTAATAAGTTATTTTAATTGAATAAAAGGAATCAGAATCAAATAGATAAAATAGGTTTAATAATCTATCACTTGAACAAGAGAAGGAGAGAAAATCAGAGGAATGAAAAAGCGAAGAAATGCAGTTGTTCTGGGAATTATGTCCCCCAAAACACTGACTTAGATAAATACTTTGCTGAATTTTTTTCAGAAATTCTCAAAATTAATCATGGACCAATCACCATCAGTATCTCAGACATCTGTGAGCAAGAACTAAGCTTCAAAAAAGATACATTCATCAACATCATTTACAAGGTATATTTCATCAACATCATTTCACATGTAGCCAGAAGATTGCTTGGGAGGAAAAAAAAAAGTCTTAAACTTCCTAAGATGGAGCCAGGCATATTGAGCAAAAAAAGGAAGCAAGATCCTCCCAGAAATCAGAATCAGGGCTTGACACAAGGACATTCCAAAGTCTGGGCTATGAAGTTCAATGTCAGCCAAGCAGGGCTTCAGAATTGCTACAGATAGCAATTCTTATGCACCCCCATTATTTTTCTCTTTCTTAATGAAAGTATTTATTGATTGTTTCCTGTTCTACCTAACTTAGACAATGTGTGAACTATAGTATCTCATAACCCAGTCCCCAAAAGATCAATATAATGTGTTTTCTCTGATAAGTTGTAGTTAACATAGAATACAGAATAATAATATAAGGATGAAACTGACATCTTATGATTTGATTATTATTTATAGGCTCTGTCTTTATTTCTGTTGGATAGTGGCCTTTCCACTTATCTGTTGAACAGTAAATTGAAAGTATGTTATTGTAAAAATTAAAGAGAAAACAAAGAGAAAGGAAGGATGGAATGGAGATTGAGAAAGGAAGGGCAGGTGGAAGTGCAATTAGAATTGTATCTGTGAGACACATGAAATCTGTTTTCTTTACAATAATAAAAAATTTTTAAAATCCCACACATTAAGCTAAAATGAAATACTTTGTTTGGACAGGTCTTTTGGGTATTCTTCCTTGAGGAAGAAGTGAAGATAGTATGTACACAAGGAATGAATATCAAGGAATTGGTGACAAGTTGACGATGGTAGATGTGACTAATGAGCACCGAGTGCCCTCTTTTTCCATTTCCAGAAACATATAGTATGTCTTTGCCTGCTGCCTAGGTAATCTGCTTTGGCCAGTGAAATTTGGGTGGTTGTGAAATGAATCATTTCCAGGCAGAAGAACCTAAAACCCATGTGCCAATCTCCATGACCTCCCTTTACTTGTCTTGGTGAGTATGGAAATATGGGAAATGACAGCCTAGTAGAGGGTGGAGCCTCCATCAGTCAGTCTTTGGGACTCCCTGTTGACCCACCCTGGATGAGAAAGCACAGTAAAGA